CCCGGGCTGCAGATTCGAACCCACTACCTTAGGTGTATGTGGCTGGCGCCTTAGCCACTTGAGCCACAGGCGCCGAGCCTCTTTTAAGACAGAGTCTTACTCTGTCACCCTGGGTAGAGTGCTGTGGTATCATCATAGCTCACAACAACCTCAAACTCCTGGGTTCAAGTGATCCTCCTGCCTCACCCTCCCAAATAGCTGGGACTACAGGCATCAGCCACAATGCCTGGCTAGTTTGTTTTGTTTTTCCTATTTTTAGTAGAGATAGGATAGAGATTGGCCTCCCAGAGTGCTAGGATTACAGGTGTAAGCTGCTGCTCCGGGCCTCTGTTCTCTCTTTTAAAGATGATTTCTTATTACCTTTCCTTTTGGCTTTATCATTTTGTGATTCTTTGTTATTTTTGTGATATGAAAACTGCCTCCTATGACCTAAATCATTATATAAAACATCATAAATTACTTAAAAAAACACCAAATCCCACAAAGTTATAAAGGTGTTGGCATACTTATCCTAGTTTTAAATGTAATATGTTGTTTTTTCTTTTTTTCTTTTTTAATACTGTAGTGTTCTAAGAACGGAAACATCTGGGCTAGATGGAATTTAGCATCAAAAAAAATCCTCTTTCTGTTCAGAAAGTTGTAAAGTGCATTAAGATGAAGCAGGCACCAGAAATCCTTGGCAACACAAATGGAAAGACTCAGAGCTGTGAAGTAAATCGTGAGTGTTCGGTGTTCCTCAGCAAAGCCCAGCTTTCTAACAGTCTGCAGGAGGGCGTCATGCAGAAGTTTAATGGCCGCGATGCACTTCCCTTTATTCCAGCTGAGAAGTTAAAGGATCTTACTTCCCGTGTATTTAATGGAGAACCTGGCACTCATGATGCCAAATTGCGTTTTGAACCCCAGGAAATGAAAGGAATGGGGACACCACCTAGCACTACCCCTGTCAAAAATGGATCTCCAGAAATTAAGTTGAAAATCACCAAAACGTACATGAACGGGAAACCTCTGTTTGAGTCTTCCATCTGTGGTGACAGTGCTGCCGATATGTCCCAGTCTGGAGAAAATGGACAAAAATCAGAAAACAAGGCGAGGAGGAACAGAAAGAGGAGTGTAAAGTATGACTCCTTATTAGAGCAGGGCCTTGTTGAAGCAGCCCTAGTGTCTAAGATCTCAAGTCCTTCTGATAAAAAGGTATTTAAGAGATTCTGTCTAGAGGCTTGTGACAGTGGGCATGGGAACTGTGGGAGGGCACTTGGGCAAATGCAGTGGCAGGTGGGAGATGGGGACGGCCTGGTGGTGGCCACACTTAACTGAGCCCTGCCCTTGTGTTGGACATCAGGCTCCAGAATGCTTTGGCTTTGCCTCCTGAGGCCTCCCAGCCAGCTACTAAGCCCATCGAGAGGCCTAGAGAGATGAACTAGGTGTTTGGGATTAAAATGACTAAAAAGAGGCAAAACCAGTTTCTGACTCTGGGCCTTCCAGTTCCAGAGCCCACCCTTGGTGACTTGAGCGTGTGCTGTTCTCACAGATCTCTCTCCAAGGCATTCTCTGGCCTGATGTGGTCAGTGGAGACACATTGGGCTCCCTTGTGAGACCCTTTGAGCCTAATCTGTTTAGTGAATGAGAAGCAGAGCAGTGCTGTGGGGGTGCTTCTGCCATCCTCTCCCAGAGGACCACTGTCCACACTGAGGTGATCTAGCAAATGGCCTGCCTCCTTGACGACTGAGGCTGTGGCTTACGTCTTTATGAGCCCAGCATGTTGAACATAAGCAGATGGGTGTTCACCACTCAAGGCAGGGAAGGAAAATTCTGCACCATTCTGTATGGTCATAAAGTAGTGTTCTTGATGGTCCTAGCACTTAGTGAGTATTAGTCATATAAGACAGCCAGAGGGCTTGGGCAGAAGGAAATAGAGATAGGGCAGCAGCTTGTTATGTCTGGACCATGGGCAGGAGTGCCCAACCTTTTTTCTTCTGTGCCTCACATTGGAAGAAAACTTGTCTTGGGCCACACATTAAACACACAGATACTAATGAAAGCTGATGAGCAAAAGGAAAGGACTGTGCATATTTTTCACAATATCCAACACTACAGATAAATAAAAACAGTCCTCAAATAATCTACCTGTGGCCCCCTACAGGTTGGACATCCCTAGTAGGGTGTTGGTCTGTAGCTGTAGCTCCATTTCCACTTGGAGGGTGAAGACAGGGAGCCTGAGACCCATGAGAGTTAACATTGTCATCATGGTAGGGATTTTAATTCAAAATAGTGGCCAGTCTCTTTGGCTCATATCTGTAATACCAGCGCTCTGGGAGGCTGAGGCTAGTGGGTTGCTTGAGCTCAGGAGTTTGAGACTAGGCTGAGCAACAGGGAGACCCCGTCTCTACCAAAAATAGAAAAAACTAGCCAGGAGTTGTTGTGGGTGCCTGTAGCCCCAGCTACTCAGGAGTCTGAGGGAAGAGGATCACTTGAGCCCATGAGTTTGAGATAGCTGTGAGCTAGAATGCCACGATACTCTACTGAGAGTGACAAAGTCAGACTCTGTCTCAAAAAAATAAAATAATAAAACTGAACAAGATTCCCACAGATAGTGGAAATGGCTGAAATTTCCTTGAAATCATTAAAATAATAAAGAGGGTTTTTAAAAAATGTTTGAGTGTTCAGGAGCTGTTTACCTCTTGCTAATATAATTAAAATGGCGAGGTTTTTAAAAGACTAGGTTAGTAATCTGGGCTGATAGAATGATTTTTTTTTAATTATCCATAGTTGTGTTGAACCTCATGCTTTTTTTTTTTTTTTTTTTCTTGAGACAAAGTCTCACTCTGTTTCCCTGGCTAGAGAGCAGTGGTATCAGTCATTGTATCTCACAGCAACCTCAAACTCCTGGGCCCAAGTGATCTTCTTGCCTTAGCCTTTCAAGTAGCTGGGCACCACCGTGCCTAGTTCAATTTTCTGGGTTTTTTTTGTTGTTGTTGTTGTTGTTGTTTGTTTTTGTAGAGATTGGATCTTGCTCTTAGTCAGACTGGTCTCAAACTGCTGAGTTCCAGGGATCCTCCTACCTCGTTCTTCCAGGGTGCTGGGATTACAGGTGTGAGCCACTGTGCTCAGCTAAACCTCATGCTTTTTACAAGGGGAAGGGGCCTGTGCAAATTATCAGAGACCTGGCTTTTATTCCTAGCTGTGCCACTTGGTTTTGTTAAAACTTGAGTGAATCACCTGAAGTTTGACTTAGATTTGCAGAATGGGGACAGTCAATGTAAGCCTGGGATGCTGTGCTGATGGTTTCAGAAGTGTATGATGTGGTGGCTCAAGCCATCCCTCCATAGCATGCCTACAGATCTTTGTGCCTGACAGTGAGATTTCAGGGCTGGTATCCTCAGGAAGAGGGCCAGGAATTCACCCTCAGGCCAGGGCCCTGCTGTTGTACTTTTTCCCACCAGAGAGCAGAACCCAGAGTGGCTTAGGAGGAGTTGCCTTTGGTTGGATGTTCAGCCTTATAACTAACTTATGTGCCAGAGATAGAGAAACTGAACCTCAGAGAGCCTGGGGACTCAGATCACAAGTGGTGGAGCTGGGACTTGCTCCAGCCCTGCCCTTACCACACTTGTACCTTCGTGTCAGGTGATGTGTGTGCTGCTGAGAATTGATGGTCAGGAGTGTCTGTGAGGTAGGAGTCAGGAAAAATTCAGGCTTCTGGGGTGGTGCCTGTGGCTCAAAGGAGTAGGGTGCTGGCTGGCCCCATATGCCAGAGGTGGTAGGTTCAAAGCCAGCCCTGGCCAAAAACTGTAAAAATAAAAAAAAAAAAATTCAGGGTTCTGTGAGAATTTATCTTTGACCAGTTGAGTAAAAATGATTAAAAACTGTCCACCAGGCCAAGGACATAGATTTATAGAGAGGTCTTAAACAGTGTTGAACTCCTTCTGTGGGCCAGACACTGTGCTGACCCTTTAGCTGAGGGCAAGAGACCCAGATGGTCTTCATGAAGTGGTATAGGGGTTCTGATCTGAAACATAGCAAAGGGTGGGACATGCTCCTGTTGTGTGGTCCTTATATGCTTTAAACCTCCAGGCTGATCAGTCTTGGGTCTTGTGTGGGTAGAAGGCTGGGTTTAGGGGTAGTTATTAGATGTGTTAGTATTTGTCTTTTGTTGTTCATTTTCAGATTCCACTTAAGAAAGATTCTTGCCCAAGTATTGGCAGAGACAAAGACTGCCTATTGAAATACAACATCGGCGATTTGGTGTGGTCCAAAGTGTCAGGTTACCCTTGGTGGCCTTGCATGGTTTCTGCAGATCCACTCCTTCACAGCTACACCAAACTTAAAGGTAGTGTGTATTTTGGGGCTGTTTTTTAATCTTTCCCTTTTGCACTTAGTCTTTCTTTTCTCCAGGCTTCTTTCTTACTCTTCTTTAAATAGCCTTAGTATTTAGATGTGCAGTGACTGATTATTTCAGCATGATCTGCAGAAATAGTATTTTATACTAAGTTTAAGTTACAAAAATGTCCTAACTTATTAGGCTTTTGGGGAGAACCATCTTTGTCTTACAGGACTTGGGTAGATTGATCTGTGCCTGGGGCAGACACAGTAACATGTTAATAATGTAATTTGTTCGCTGATAAAGAGCAAATAGTTAGACAACACATAAATGTATTTTTGGGCTGGACGCAGTGGCTCACGTCTGTAATCCTAGCACTCTGGGAGGCTGAGGTGGGTGGATTGCCTGAGCTCGCAGGTTCAAGACCAGACTAAGCCAGAGTGAGATCTTGTCTCTAAAAATAGCCAAGCGTTGTGGTGGACACCTGTAGTCCCAGCTACTAAGGAGACAGAGGCAGGAGAATCACTTGAGCCCAAGAATTTGAGGTAGCTGTGAGCTGTGACGCCACAGCACTCTACCAAGGGTGACGAAGTGAGACTCTGTCTCAAAAAAAAAAAAAATATATATATATATGTATATATATATACACACATACATACATATGTATATTATATATATTTTTGGAGAAAAAGTAAAGCACCAGGTAGTTTGATTCTTCACTAACGTTTTTCTAAAATTTGCATTTAGTTTAAGGAAGGTGAGGTTTGACAAGTATAGATTTGGAGCCGAGCAAGTTAGTGCCCCTGTGACCCATGCATCCTTCAGAAGGGTGGGTGGCTACACTCATGACTGGATTGGAGGCCAGTGTTCCAGCCTGGTACTGCTGACCAGGCAGCCTGTGTGGCCCCTCAGTGTAGTGTTTGTAGCTCCTCCTGGTGTCTGGCGAGACTCCTGAGCTCTCCCAGGACCAGTGTTGCTCCTCTCCCTCTGGGCTTAAGTCCTACTTTGCCACCTGAGTAGCTACCCAGACTGACTGCTGGGAGTGGGACATAGCAGCCCCTCCCTTGCAAATGTCAACTTTAGAGGATGGGTTCAGGATAAAGAGGGCCTTGCTTGAGTCTCAAACTCTTGG